AGCTGTGCAATAAGACACGATAGTGCAAGGAGGTGAGAGTGAATCACAAGAGAACGAGTGACGACAGAGAGTGCGAAGGGAAGAATGGCGATTAGACGCCATTCCACAATGTTTGCGCTGCAATAAGACACGATAGTGCGAGGAGTTGAGAGTGAATCACGAGAGAACGAGTGACGACAGAGAGAGCGAACGGAAGAATGGCGATCAGACGCCATTCCACAATGGTAGCTGTGCAATAAAACACGACAGTGCGAGGAGCTGAGAGAGCATCATATCTACGCACGAGAGAACGAGTGACAGAGAGAGCGAAGGGAAGAATGGCGATTAGACGCCATTCCACGATGTTTGCGCTGCAATAAGACACGATAGTGCGAGAAGTTGAGAGTGAATCACGAGAGAACGAGTGACGACAGAGAGTGCGAAGGGAAGAATGGCGATCAGACGCCATTCCACATTATTAGTTGTGCAATAAAACACGACAGTGCGAGGAGGTGAGAGAGCATCATATCTACGCACGAGAGAACGAGTGACAGAGAGAGCGAAGGGAAGAATGGTGATCAGACGCCATTCCACATTATTAGTTGTGCAATAAAACACGACAGTGCGAGGAGGTGAGAGAGCATCATATCTATCCACGAGAAAACGTGTGACAGAGCGAGCGAAGGGAAGAATGGCGATTAGACGCCATTCCACAATGTTAGCTATGCAATAAAACACGACAGTGCGAGGAGGTGAGAGAGCATCATATCTACGCACGAGAGAACGAGTGACAGAGCGAGCGAAGGGAAAAATGGCGATTAGACGCCATTCCACATTGTTGGCTGTGCAATAAAACACGACAGTGCGAGGAGGTGAGAGGGCATCATATCTACGCACGAGAGAACGAGTGACAGAGAGAGCGAAGGGAAGAATGGTGATCAGACGCCATTCCACAATGTTAGCGCTTCAATAAGACATTTTCCAATATTTCATACGTATTTAGTCGCCTGATTAACGTAGTCAGTGATGCTAACTTTTCGGACATTTATTAAACGTTAAAATTAATTCAAGTCTTCTTAACACAAATGTTGTTTATTATTTATTTATTTAATTCATTTTTTTGTTTTTTCCTTTTTTGCATATACACGCTTACATGTTGTGTACATGTTTTACTTTACTGTGTTAAACATTAAAAAATATACAATTTTCAACACTTTCTACAATTACTACGATATTATAATTCTTTCTTGTTCTTCTTTTTTGATTACTAACGTATTTGTTTATGTGTGAAGATTAAATTGAATTAATTACATATACAGGAAATAAAAGAGATTGTAATAAAACAAGTTAGCGAACAAATCGTTCAAAATTTCAATCATGTTTTATATGAAAAAACAAGTTGAGAGAAAATAAAAGTTCTATTAGCAATTGATAACCAAAAATAAAAAAAAAATAAAAAAAATTCATTTTAAAGTAAACTGATTCTCCAAATTATTATTGTATTTTTTGTATTTTTGTATTTGTTTTTTTTTTTTTTTTTAACACAATTTACATACATAAGCACTTATTTTATAAAAATGTAAATGTTGAAAGAAAACATTGAAAATACGTCATAACATTATAATTGTTGTTGTTGTTTTTGTTGTTATTATTATTTTTCTTGGTAATATACTCTACGGGATTTATAGTTGATATACACATAAAATATAGTTTAACTGCGTGCCAGCATTCCATTGATCATAATATTGGCCAAAGCATTTCGTCTTTTGCGCCAGCCACCCATACCTTGTGCATGATATTGCAACTGTGTATACCATTGTTTAGTGCGTACATTGTCCTCAGCCTGCGTGAAAACGGTAACAATTGAAATATGAGTAGGATGTAGAAATAAAAAACAAAAAAAAATAAATAAAAAACCAATAAATTTTTTTGTTTTTCCCCAATAAGTTTTCTGGAGTAATTTTTGCATACTTTAAATATGAATGTATCCTTCGATGAGATCTCTTGTATCTCAAAGTATTCATCCCAATCGGCCTCACTGCATACGACACATCTGTCCAGATATAATGGTTCACGTATCAATGTATAACGTCCGCACTTTTCTTTGACCACCAACAATGAAGCTTCTCGTATTCCGGTATGCTTCGGGAAATTCAGTTTATCTGACATGACTTTTTCTGCTTTATAATTGGCACTTGGCTGCCCACAAGCAAATGAATTCACACACGAGAATATTGTACGCGAATGCACGCGATTGTGCGACCGTATATATGTTGACATAAGTATTGTGACAGTTTGCATTGAACAATTGCAGCATTGAAAGTGTTGATAAAATGAAAAAAAAAAAAAAATGAAAAAAAAAAGAAAAAAAAAATAATAAAAAAATATACACAAAAAGGGAAAATAAGCGAAACAAAGATATACAATAATAAAGATATAGTGCGAGAAGGGGGAAAAAAGAGAAAAAATATATAAATACTATGTCCTTGGGCGAATTTTCGACATCCCTACCCATTTATCTACCTAGTTTTAGCTTGTAGGCCTTTTAGGCGCTCCCTTTAGTTGTTATTATCATTCCGTCTGCAATATTGCAGCTTTCTCCATAATTCCTAACCTTTACTTTAGTAGAAAATTAATTAATTTTAAGAGAGGAGATAATTAAAGCAATAGAATAAAGAGAGAGAGAGAGAGAGAGAGAGGGGATGAAACAGAAAAGAAGAAAGATATCTAGTTTACGAGCAATACTTTGCCAATTATAATTTTGATTATTTTGAAGCAGCCTCCACGAAACCGAAAATGCATATATATTTACATCATTCAATCCATTCGAACCCATGTAAACTTACGAGTCGATTATGCGATATAAATCCGCCTGTCCGCCTGCCCTATGGATATTGTAGACACATTCGCGGCATAAGCTTAAGTTTAACTTAAGCATATCATCATAGACGAATACGCATCGAATATGGGCCA